CGTGTGAGAAGTCTGGCGATGGTGTGCTCATGTTTTATACCAGAATTTCATACGGGTTTCTTTGTGCACATTTTGCATTTTTTAGTGATTAAATACACTTTTCTCGCAAAAACAAACGTCAATCACGTGCACATATTTACAGGGAATAGGTAAGTTGCATTCCAGCTATGTGTTCCCAACTGTTTTCGTGCTGTTTGGCAAATTTGTTGAAAACTGACGACCATTATTTATTTGATGGCGTTTCTTTTGCCCCTCAGTTTATTATGTATGTATGCTGATACAAAATAAACATTTTGACAAACGTTATCCTTAAATGTATTTGTTAAACACTTGGGTTCTATTTACTGTCTACGATGTTGTCACTGTGATGTCGTAAATAATAGATATATCAACATATATGCGTGAACTTGTATGTGTATTATGACGTACATGTATTTGGGCGTTTCTTCTGATCTCTGATTTCTGACCTAACTACACGACAACCTGTGTTTTATCTTTGCACTACTCCAGTTAGATCTGTAACTAGGGCTGGACGGAAATCATAATAAAAACATGACATTAGCACAACGTTAAGCAATGTGCAATTTAATTTGTACACAAGTTCGTTGACACCACACATGAATCCAGAAGCAGGATGCAGGTAAGCATCTCTCTCCCTCTTTTTTATTAAGCATACATTCATTTATCATATAATGGGTAGGTTTCTCTCCAGGATAAAGCCAACGGATAAAAACGATATCCGTTGGGGTCATATGCGGATAGCGATGCAAATATCAAAGATCAAGAAGGGACTACTTTCCTAATGTTATGACAGGACAGACTGTCAACAACGTCTGACCTTGGCCGTGACGTCTCATAGACTAGGGTTAGAGTAGCTTCCCTTTGACAAAGGTCAAAATTCGTGTTGGCAATTGTTGTTTTCCGTATATGTTGGGTCGCCAGTGTATAAGAAAAGTGTTTCATTTGGAACTATATTGGCTACAGTCGCTTTCCGACTGACTCATCACTTACCCAGTGACCTAATACATATTAATGCGCACATTCGAGGAAAACTTGGATGGCTCGCTAAATACAATGTTCATTCCTAATACAAGATATTTACCATCCCCAAACACACTCGCGTGAACCTCTATTTATACATTGTGTAGCTGATCTAGATCTGGTATCCTAAACATAAAGATACAACACAATGACTGACACAATTGCTGAAAAAAGTGTCATGCGGTTACTGAATGAGAAATTGCCAAATCACAACCCCTTCTTTTCCAAATATAATTGTATTCGCGCATGGGTATAAGTCTTCCGGGCAACTAGTACAAAGAGGTGTATGTGCCCATGTAGCACGAAGGTAATGACTCATTTCAGATACACATATAATCATCTTTCTACCAAGCTTACTCTCCTCTAAACACAATTCGAAACTTAATTTCACAATGTAAAATGTAAAACATATACCCTAAAATAGATACTATTTAATTCAATCAGGATAATGATATGTTGTAATTAGTCTGCTTACACATTAGGCTGTAGGTCATAGCTTTTACCCCAAGGATGAGTGTTGTCTTCGTTGCAGATGCACCAAACATCTCCAGGTATTCCACGAAGAATAGCGCCAGAGATCGGTTGTATCCATCCATGAACATAGCATTCAGAAAACACCCTGAAATATCCGATCTCGACATTTGGTAAACACAATTTTGAGAGTAACACACTATGTCATCTTAACATTTTCGATTTCAGTTTCTGCTTTTCAATATGAGTGATGTTATCTTGTGAACAAAAATGTGTTCCTCTGAAAATAGATACAGGGTACGATATTTTAAATGGCTACTGTATACAGAAAAGTATATGTTTGAGGTCTTACACTTGTAGTCGTTGTATACGTATATACGTACCTCCCAGTATAGCCCAAGCCCATCCTCGGTCGATAGGTAGTCCTTCCTTACTTACTCGGCTTTTTTCTCCTGTATTTAAAACGTCCTTGTAATCCCCTTTAACATTACTCATTGCCATGATTGCAAAGAGACTGAATATATCGTTTGTGTTACTTCACCGTCGACAAGGCCGACATTCACTGCAGTCTCTATCATTGACCTATTGAGGTCAAAGGCAGCCATAAGACCTTCGGCTGATATCTGTCCACGTGTTGATGTTATGTCATGTCTTATGTCATTACGTTCTGTGCGATGATTGACATTGACGCTTCTTCCTATCGGTTAAAGAATAAATATTTATTCATTCGCATCGTGTGACCTAACAATGCTTCATATATGTATATAATATACATTTACGATTGTTTTATGCTGTGGCCACTTGACGACGACAAATTAACTTTGTTTTACAACATCCCACTGGAATTTAACATGAACTCAAGTTACTCTGAAATTCAATACTACATACATACATACATACATACATACATACATACATACATACATACATACATACATACATACATACATGGCAGTGTAATGTACTGTTAAACGATGATTGCAACTGTATTACATTGTTTCTGTGGAGCTTCCGTAGAAGTTCCTTGCATTGTATTTGGGCAATGTTTAGTCGTCAAGAACGTAGTACTATTTAATATAAGCAGTTGTGAGGAACATATGTTATATTTGGGATAACACTTTCTCAGTAAAGTACAGATTCTCGTACTCTTTGGGGTTGAGTCCCGTCAAGGATTCGAACCCACACTGCCAGAGCGAGGCACTTAATCGCCAGCACACAAAGTCAGCGATATATACCACTCAACCAGCGAGCCACAAAAATGAAAGTGTGACAACTTATAGTCTAGATCAGGTAATTGGTGTACCCCTCTGAAAAAGTGTAAAGTGGCACGGCTCCCATGGCCGAAAGCTATGAACACATAATGCCATTTAGAAAGTCGTCAAATGTATCAGATGTTATATTTGGGATAACAGTTTCTCAGTACAGAGGAAGTTATAATAATTAGATGCTCGAATTATATGTAAACTTCCGGAATAGAATGGATGAAGGTCAAGCGTTAAGGAGTCATGTTGAATGTTCCGTCATGTTTAAGTGACACTGGACTGGTCTGACACTGTGTGGAAAGTGCTGGAAGCTGGTTAGATTATATAAATGGATCAGGCGAGTCCCTGTCTCATCTCACATTTCATCTGACAAAACATCAAGGCCAGCGGTTGTGTGAAGATCATCACTAAACCTTTTGTTATTTTGCTATCACCACTGCCATCATTTGATATTGCCATTGAATATCGTACTACCACTCTATTGCATATTGTCATTGTAATTGCTGTGCTGTAAATTTATTGGTTTATGAAACTAGTTAAATCTGCAAAGCAATTTGTTGATTGCTTGTTGGTTTCACACTATATTCAGGCAGGCAGGCAGACAGGCCTTTGGAGATAATTTTCTCTTCTAAACAACTAACTAATAGCATTGATCTCAGTTGTTTCTACCGTTATTCCCCACACAGAGAATCATCCAACGTCTTAAAATAACAAACAATTAGTTTGATGTTAATAATTTTAGCTTTTCTAAATAGCTTGACCATTCTCATGGGGGTATTGTGGAGTCTTAGGAAACAAGCAAATCAACAAGCTAAGACTTTTGAGCAGCGCTCATTCTTGACTGAAACACTGACACAATTATCAGCTAGCTCCAGGAAGATTAATGTCAAAGATTTTTTTCCAACCTATCTGAATTTAAATTGTCCACATTTGACTCCAGCATTGGAAATGTATATGATAAAATCCTGTTGAATACATAGCTCGGATTGAATAGATATGTCTTGGTTCTTATCTTATCTTCTATATATCATGTAAGTATGTTCTGATTTTCACATCCCTGATTATAATGACACCATTGCAATAATGCCATATTTTCCGCTGGAAGAGAGGTGGCATCATATCCTAGCAGGACTGTACATGGCCTCTTGCAAATCCCAGTAGTTAAACAGGTAGATCGAGTGAACGTCAGAGATCATCTTTGAACAAAGTGCACTCCAATAAGATAACAATGTATACACCACCTGTACCTATGAAGTGCACACTTGCATTGGTGTGGAGAAAACATCATAACTGTTTTGAATTTATTGGTAATCCATATTCTACTTCATTATTTTATCCGAGTGTGTTTTAAATGATGAAAGCATACTCTTAGTTACTTTGAACTATTTATAGGTGGTGAGTTGTGCCTTTTCATAATATTACATGTAAGAAAATAATTAATAGGCATTCGAAAGTACAAACATAACAATCTGTCTATATCATCTTAATCATTTACAGCTTAATTTCATTTTAAAGTTTTTTTAATTGTTAACACTATGCATTTATTATATTAATTTACTTATATATAAACCTTTTGTATTAGCTTTGACTGAAAGAATTCATGCTCGAGTAAATTGCACTTTCAATATTAGGAAATAGACTTGTCCCTTTGTGAACTGGACCTTTGATTGACATTTAGTAAGAATCTTACCGATAATGGGATGTATCTCGGCAACTGCAAATCTTTGGAACAGAGATGGGGTTTTGCCAGATAGTCCCATGAAATCAACCATCACTAATGCTAGAAGACCATACATTGTATGTACTACAGGAGGTTCCAAGCACAGGAAGCCGCAAACAAAGGGTATGTTGTGTCAAATGCCATGAACTGTAAGTTGTTGGTTACTGGTTACTTATGTGTGCTGAGTCAGCCTTCACAACATAAACATATAATCGCGTTTTATTATGATTCTATGGCTTAATAATTTAAAAATTTCTTTGACAATTGTGGTCTTACCTATATGTTTGATGTAACAAAACGTACATATTATTTCAACTTCAGAATACCGTTAGTTTATCTAGTCATGGAGAGTATGTGATACAAATGAACATATACAGGTAATGTCGTGGTAGTGGTCACATATATGTTATGACATGTGTAGGCAATGTGATCTGAGCTAGGTGTTGTAACACTCATGTCTGGGTTAGGATGAGATAAGGGTTAATGAAAAAATACCAAATACATTGTAATAAACGAGTATGGTACATACAAGTAACAGTTTATTACTTTCTGAATGGTCATTTATGCTAGGAGTTGGTTATTTAAGTGGCTCTGTCGACTCATCGTTTTCTGTTCGTGTATGACCCTTTCTTTTGGATTCATATCGCCTCACTACCGGCTCACACAGCAACAGTCCCGCAGCAATGAATGCAGTAAATCCCAGATAATGAAAACAGGCTACGTATGATCCGCTCACGTCGCGAATACTTCCTGAAAAAAATCAAGACAAAACAATTCCACTTCGAAGTAACATATTAAGGAGGCGAATATCTTAAACTATTTTGTTTGGTAATTTCGTAATATTGTTACATTGTCGGCCAATTGGATCATTAAATTTTAAAAAACTCATTTCGCATTCTATATTTAAAAGAGTGTACAAACTGTTTCATGTACCTATGATGGGGTGTGTTAGTGAAATAGCAAATCCCTGAAACAGAGCTGTAAATCCAATAGTTTTTGCCATGTAGTCGACTCCCATGAAATCTACTACCATCACCGGTAGGAGGCACTGATATGCACTTCCGAAGATGCCAATCACAACACAGTAGGCCACAAGTAAAGGGTATGTTGTGTAATACACAATAAACTGAGATGACAGTCCTGAGAACACAAGACCAATGGACATTAATTGACTGACACGAAGATATTTCAGATCAGCTAAAAATCCATATAAAATCCTACTAATGAAGTCAAGAACTCCAGAGATGAGCAACAAAAATGCTGCCTCCGATTGACTGTATCCCAATTCGTTCAACCGTGCAGGAAGATATGTTGAAACTTGTTTCACCACCACAGCAAAATGACACACACCAACGATCAGCAGAAACATGGGCTTCTTGAACAGAGTAAAGTCAAATGCATTTAAGATTTTTTTCACATTCCTCAGGCATGTGTGTGTTGGTTTGGGTCTGTCACCGGTGACATAACTGTTTGTTTCCGACTGTGGATCAGGAAGTACTGTGCCAACGCCAGGACAAGACTGAAAACCCACTTGGTCATTGGTTTGGAGTAGCTTGTTGGCCATCGTGGATTTCTTTCTATAAAATTCTAGAGGGCGAAATAGGGATGCTCCTACCCACATATTCATTGTAAGTCCAGCAAATATAAACAAAGTTCCACGGATACCGTACTCATTGAGGAGATATTGTGAAAAAATTGGGAACAATCCTGATGCACAGCTCATGGCTGTACTGGCGGTGGTGGTAGCGAGACCTCTGCGTTTCTTGAAGTATTTACCTACCAACACTATGGCAGGTGCATGTATCATTGAATGACCAATTCCTGCAATACATGAAATACATATGCAACATATTTCGGATAAATGCAATGGTATGAGTAATCATGGTAATTGTACTACATTTTGTTTGTTTTCCTCAGCAATATTACCATTGCACAAGTAACTCAAACACACTACACTGGAGTTCCGTGTCAGAATTGTCGTTTCTTTGCAATAGGGGCGACTAACATAAAGAAATGTAATGTGTGATCTGACGAATGTTTGTCATTATATTCCGATTGCTTCGAGCATTGCTGGACATGCCGCTTTGAAATATATCGATTACTGCTGATTGGAGTTTAGCACAGCATTGGAACTCTCATTCAAAAGCAGCCTGGAATGTATACCTGCAAGAACGCTATGAACACATATGATGACTTCAATACTGGGTGCAAAGGTGGCTGAGAGTATAGCTGACACACTGAGAAACCCTCCCAGCATGACTGTCTTCCTCGTCCCCAGAAACTCCAACAGAACGTGCATTGTAAACAGAGCTAGAAGTATAACGTTATTAGACACGTGGCCACTGCTTAGACATATAAGTATGATAGGTTTCTCAGATGGGTGTCTTTGGCCCTGAATGCTTGCTACATTATATTATGTAACCGATGGATAAGATTTATTATATCCTGTACTTGAAGCGGCAATGGGGTGGCCGAGTCGTAAGAGTTCGTCATGGCTCATAAAGGCTCATCATGTTACTATCTGAATACGTGTTAAATTAAATATTCGAATATTAAAAAATAACATCATACCTCATCGTCTTGGGGGCGTACCTGGTTTGTCAGGTTCGTAAAATGATTAAAACTTGATACATGAATACACTTACACATCAGACTCTTTGTCATTGCTTTGACTCCCATTATGAGAGTTGTGGTGGTTGTGGACGCATCAAACATTTCTAAATACTCCACAAAGAACAAAGCCATAGATTTGTTGTAACCTGCCATCAGCATTGCATTCAGAAAACAACCTGAAATTATAGATGGAAATGTTTCATTAACCGTTGTATCATTTCCTCTCAGTTGTCATAAACAAGAAGCATTACTTACTTTACATATATTAGAGTGAGTGAGTGAGTTAGTATGGTTTTACGCCGCTTTTAGCAATATTCCAGCAATATCACGGCGGGGGACACCAGAAATGGGCTTCACACATTGTACCCATGTCGGGAATCGAATCCGGGTCTTCGGCGTGACGAGCGAACGCTTTAACCACTAGGCTACCCGACATCCCCCTACATATATTAGAGTTGTCTGTATTATAAATATACATCTTTATCATTAATCACTAGTCCTAGTTTTGAATTTTGTCAGCTTGTCTTATTACAGTGGACATTAGGGCATATTTTCATCACTGTAAGATTATTGCAATGACAAATTTCTTTCAACAAAAGAATAGTACTTATACATGGTTTCAAACATTTCTATTAATCAGAGATTTTGGTGTCTCTTTGAAAATGTTAATTCATATCTCTGTATTGTTGTTTTCCGAGATCACACACAACGTATAAACACTGCTGGAAGGGGTGAGTATAGTTTATTGTGTAAACAGTGTGAATACTACCTCCAAGTATTGCCCAGGCCCATCCCCGGTCTATGGGTAGTCCACCATTACTATCTACGCCATTATCTTCTTGAGACTGTACTTCAGAAAGCTGTTCCGTTTCATCATGCTTCATCTCAACGCGTAGAGCACGTGTCGTATCCGTGTTCATTTTATCGTCTCCAATTTCCACACTGTATCCAGCAGACGACATGATCCTCGCGCTAACTCTTTCACAACGATCGCCGACGCTTAACAAGTTTGGACTTCGTATGACCTCCTACAACCTAGATAGATATGGCAATAAAATCAAAGTATGTCTTGTTTTCCGAGGGGCCACGGGTGGCCCAGTCGTCTGAGGCGCCGCGATTCGCTGTGCAGAGTTGCGTCCTTTGGACACGCCAGAAACCTATGGTTGTGGGTTCGAATCCCGATTCGCCCCGATTATGTTTCTAGGTTTGTCAGCACCATACCCGTGCTCGTGGGTTTCACCGAAGTTGTAAACATCTGAGACCTGCATCACTTCTGGCTTTCCTCCCACATTAAGCTGACACGCTGCGATATAACTGTAATAATGTTAAAAGCGGCGTTAAACCCAACTCATTCGCTTCTTCTCTGAAACCGTACATAATGCATATGCTATAACATAAGATGTTAAGTTCTAAGATTGTTCTTGTTAAGGTTATGGGAAAATTTCAGCGACTGCTGAGTCCCAACGTGTAACACTACATGCATACGAAAGTTTGCATCCCAAACAACTTGGGGGTGAAACTTCAGAACCACATTACCACACCAAGCTTGAAACAGTTACATCCTTTGATTATACTGTGAATGACAACACGGGGGTACCATGTGATTCTGATTACCTGAGAGAGTGAGAGAGAGAGAGAGAGAGAGAGAGAGAGAGAGAGAGAGAGAGAGAGAGATCATTTGACATCGTGCCCTGTTTAGCCTCTTAACCTAGAATGCTAATGTGTTGGTATCGTTTTATCTTTGGCAGTCGTGACTCACCAGTTGGTGATCTTCTATTCTGAGGACACCGAGGTTGCTAGTACAGCCACAACTCGGTTCGTGAAACCTGCACTCAGTAATTTTAGACAGTGAGATCATAACTCGAACTTCACCCCATGGTGATGAGATAAGAACAACAGACAATCTATGGTTTGATACATTTATAAAATAAGATACAGGAAAAACGTAGGGACGAGTAAAATGGTTGCAAACGATCACATCCGACTGGAAACGTTTGATTTCTCAGTTTGATTGTTCTGCTTTCATGCTGAAATTTCATAGTTTATATAGTTTTATTTCTACTTATCAGGGTCGGAAGTGATAAAAAGGTTCGAAATATGTCCACCCCTTCTAATATTAGATCTATCCACTGCCAAAATGTGAAATTATGCGTTTAAAAGTAAGTTCAATAATCTATTCATATAACGTCTGTGGGTATAGTCGTTTTAAAAAGAAATAACTTTTAATGAATTGAGTGTGTGTGAATTTATGCTTTACGTCACATCGGCAATGTTTCAGCCATATCGTGCGGCAAATGAAGTCATCTACATACTCAACCCAGAACGACAATGAACATCAACAATGGACCCTTAATTTAATAACGGGGACTTAAAAAAAGAGGATAGAATACATAAATGATTTCAATTTGTGTGCCAAAAACATGTTTAATATCCGCATCGGTTGATTTAAGGAGGTGTAGTAGCCACAGCGACACATGCTCGAATGGTGTGAACTTAATAAAAATAAATATTTGTACAATACGTTCAGACTAAGACAAGAGCAGCAGCAGAGAACACATTGTCCAGAACAACACACACGTCATGATCACGATATACTGCCACTGCTACTAAAAATCTGATACATATTCTACAGATAGATATACATTGCGAACAAGGGGGCACGGGTGGCCCAGTAGTCTAAGGCGCCGCGATTCGCTGTGCAGAGTTGCGTCCCTTGGGCACGCCAGAAACCCATGATTGTGGGTTCGAATCCCGGTTCTTCCCAGTTATGTTTCTAGGTTTGCCGGCACCATAACCGTGCTCGTGGGTTACACCGAAGTGGTAAACGTCTGAGACCTGCATCACTTCGGGCTTTCCTCCCACATTAAGCTGACACGCCGTGATATAACCGGAATACTGTTAAAAGCGGCGTTAATCCCTCACTCACTCACATAGCGAACAAGTAACTGTGCTTCATATAAAGTGTTGGAAATGCTATGTTATTGAATGTAACAAAATAAGATACGTGTGGCGATACGTCTGAAGAAACCATACCTGTCACTGGACGTCGGGGCCGAATGTTGTGTTCCCTCAACCGGTTACGTACGATTCTGCCAATTGGTCTTGGAATTGATGTTTATGTGATAGTTTGGTCTCTATTCCGTAAATACACGAACCGAATATGGTAGTCCTGTTGAAATGACGCCACACGTTGTCTAGCGGCCCCATGGAAGTCATGACTGTTGCAATGCTATTGATAACGTGTCTAAAGAGATGATATCGTGTTTCGGTGAACATTTAAATGTCTGGCAACTCATATTCTGTTTGCAGCATACCCAAAGCACGTAGCCGTGGCATTACGTTGGCGTTACTTACGGTTAAACAAAAGTGTTTCATGAGCACCTGATAGCTAAAGAATCATTGAGTTCACATTAAATAGCCAGGTGGGCGTCATCCAAATTGTGTGTCGTGCATTAACATGCACCTGCAAACTATGAATCACGAATTTTGAGAAAAGGAGTTGTTTTTATCAATATGGATTGAATTATTTCATTTCAGAATACATTTATTTTTATTGAACTTCATGTTAAGGACAGTTACCTTTTTTCCGTTAGTATACATTGTTACAGATATAACAGTACAACCACCCACGGTGTCTGAGCACATGCACGTGAAACATTAGTGGTGTGTTGCCATTTTATCAAATTCCCCATGGCTTCAATACTAATGTTCAGATGACGTGAGTGTGGTGCTGACAGAACTAGAAGCCTGTATTCGAAGCCATTATTGCCCTAAAAGGCGACAATGATTGTCGTAAGAGGCGTGTAACGGGATCAGGTGGTCAGGCTCGCTGACTTGGTTTGATGCATGTCATCGTATCCCAATTATGTGGAACGATGCTCATGATGTAAATCACTGGATTGTCTGGTCCGGACTCGATTATTTACCGACCGCCGTCATATAGCTGGAATATTGCTGAGTGCGGCGTTAAACAACAAACAAAAAAGAACAAATAGAAACCAGGATCACTGCTTCCTGGAACGCCAAAGGGACACAACTCTGCACAATCTGTTTCGGGCCTTATACTACTGTGTCAAACTGACCAACAATATGAATTAAGACAAACATATGACATTATTCATCTGCAATCAAATGATCAGTTCTACAGAACGTACAAAACACTGGATTGCTAACCCTATGGTAATTTTCCTAACGTAATGCGTTCAAAAGTCTAATTTCAGACATGTAGTATTGAACTAAACCACTTACATAAACACACGTCTTTTACCAGTAAAGACACAAAATTAATAATGTGTGCACTTCCGAATACAGAATATATCTCTAATCTAAGCCTAATACTTCTGAACCTTTGCTACTTCCTGTGTTAGCAGTCTTTCAACATTCTCCAAGATAACAGTTTCAATATCATCACGTATCTATACTCACCGCCTAAAGAAACGCGAACCACAGAAGCATACAGAGAAGTATGTACGTCAAGAAGAGGTGTATCCACTGTGTACCAATTACTGACAAAACTAACTATCAGTCAAGTGTTATCTCAGAGTGTCTTATTCTCATCACGATATGCTGCACGTGGTTTTCTAAACTTAACAAGCTAATCCTGCACGAGACAAATTGTGCATCTCGTGTCATGGATCTATGACGTCACATGTGATGCGGTCATGAGCGTCGGCTCACACATCTCAACTTCAGGTGGTTGTTTATGATATATAAAACGTAATGGGTGAATGCCACCCTTATACTGCCAACACATTCTTTCTGATTATCAGATTAGTTTTATCAAGGCTATGAGCCTGGATATTATTATAAGGAAAACATCTTACAACCATGTAATTTTTTAGGCAGAAATTTTCTGGTTTTATTCAAAAGTCTAAGGCATAATTATTTATTTCAAGAATATACTCTCTCTCTCTCTCTCTCTCTCTCTCTCTCTCTCTCTCTCTCTCTCTCTCTCTCTCTCTCTCTCTCTCTCTCTCTCTCTCTCTCTCTCTCTAGGGTGAACATAGAGGCTAGTCCTACTTCACAGGCGCTGTGTTTATCTTATCAGGTAAATAGACTGAACTGACAGAACTTTATTACCCTCAAGCCGAAGACCTCGGCATATGAAGTACAAACAGAGATAACATAGTAAGGCAGACGGGATCAGCCGGGAGCTTTAACAACTTTCATAATGATCTCAGGATATTTACAAAGTTTCATCAGGAGAGAGATTTTTTAGGAATAAACAGTTCTATGAACTTTAGCATATTTGGTTGATTCCCTAAAATTGCATGGGATATACAATTTACGAGCATCGTTAAAATGTGTACATATAAAAATATAATGGTATTCATCCAACATCTTCCATTTCACATAGTTTACAAATACTATCACTTTTTGGAGTCTTATTCCATCTTCAAGTTTCATTTGGCAAGCGGTGACAGGATGTTCGAAAGAATAGTAATCTAATAGCTAAAAGAAAGGGAATATTTCATAAGTTTGAGTCAAGCTTTAGGTCATTTTTGAAGTTCGATTTGTTTAACAGTTAGATGAAGTTGCAATATGCGCATTCCAAGTTTGCCAATTTATATCATGTAGTTTGCGAGAAAGGGTTACTTTTAACCAGGAGGATGATATGTAACTCTGTGACAGCCAAACAAAGATCAGGCCAGTTTGGTCTAAGATATTTTGAATAAAAGTGAGCCAATTGTAAATATTAACATTGTTATTTGTGTCATTGTACAAGAGCATGTATAACATATGGGACAGTTTATTCTTATCTGACAATCTACCAGAAGCGGAGTACTACCCACCTCATTATAAAGCATCAGAAGTAGAGTACTCTTTTGTAACTGGGACAAGTTTCTCGAGAAAATGTATATGGACTTTTTTAACAAAAGCATGCGTGACGCACACACGGATGTCAAATTAATATTGTGTTTTTCATCATTCACTAAAACATATGTCATGTACATTGGATTCGGCAACATATTTCATATTTGCTTATGTTCTTACCTGCTAGTTGATACTGTCAACGTTCAAAGTAA